TTCACAATACAAACTGTCCCAAAGATCAAAGGAGTAGACTTTACAAAACTGTATTTCAAAATTCACATCCTGGTAATGTATGATGAATGGGCAGAAGCCATCTAAGTACTGCTGTGAGGACCTTTTGGTTCTATGGATATGAATTATATGTAAAATATGTAAACATGATATGTAAATTCCAGACAAAATCCAGATCTCCATAGCTCCAGACCAGCAGAACATTGAAAAGGTCCTGATAACTTTGAGATGTAATTTTGAAGTTTTACTGATGACTTTGAGATTTGACTGTGTTAATGAACTGACCCCAAGGTGGCACAGATAGGAGTTGTTCTGTTTCCCCAGAAAAAGCTATCAAAATGAGACCTCAAACTCCTCCCCACCCCCACCCCACAAGTGCTCTTCTATCTCCATCAGGTCCATGCTGCCTAGTGCTCCCAACTGTAATCCATGGCTATGTGAGTGATGTTCCCTGCCTCCCCGTCTCCTCATCCTCTTCCTCACTCTGCCTGTTCACCTATCCAGAGCCACACAGTCTGCCTAAGTCTCTCTTTCACTGCTTGTCTTTGCCTTTATGGGCTTTTTGACCCCATGTCTTTTGTATTCAATTAAAGTGTGATCGCTACCCTGTTTCCCACTGTCAATTGTGATTTTTCCCAGTGAGCACCAAAAGAACCAGGCATGCCTGCCCCCCATTTCATAATTTCACGAATTAACTATCAGTTCATGCCAAATGGTACCTTCTTTCACATGGATATGGGATATTGCCTAGAGAATGTAGAGAGTAGCGAGCATCAGGTGAGCAGTTCCAGGAGGCTGCAGAATGCCCAGTTCAGGATTTGAGACAGTGGACTCTGGAGACACATGGAATTGGGTAATATGCTTCACTTTTATGAAGGTCTCCACTATAGTTGAGGAGATAATTGAACTAGGGTGGATAAATCACTCCTGAAAAGGAGGACAGAAACTGATAAGGGCATCCTTAGGATCAGACCTTGTCTGCCCCCTACCCCCAATATGTCTTTGTCTTCATCCAGAGGGGGAAAATATGGCTCCAGAGAGCTTTAAGCTTCGGCTCATCATTACTTTTGCCAATGCAGATGTGTTCTTAAAATGGAAGGATAATACTAGCAGCCTAAACTGGGCTTGAAACACCATCCAACAATTTACTCTTCTACCTATTTCCTCTAGTGAAGCAATCACCATGGCTGGTGGAAAGAATCTTTACTCTCCCACTGTGTGGGGGTGAAGGCTATTCTACCTGCCTGTTAGAGGAGCAGATGCTAAACACAGAGAATCCATTTATTTGTGCAGCTGATGAATGGAGTGTTTTGGCTACTGAGAGCTGGACATGTTGACATTAATGAAAGTGGAGAGACAATGCAACCAGGAGACCAGTGGAGACTTGGAGAGAAGACTCAAAATAACATTTTTTTTTACAGTTAAATTTTATTTTTTTTAAATTACCAAGCATTTGTTTTTTCTACCTCCAGATCTCCCACCACCACTACCACCATGAGAAAAAGTCAAAATAAAAACACAACCCTAGTAACAAGTAAGCATAGTCAGGCAAAACTAATATCCATATTGGCCATGTCCAAAAAAATAGGTGGTTCATTCTGCTTATTAGTTCAACACCTCTCTGCCAGAAGGTGAGTAGAATTCTTTATCATCAGTCCTCTGGAATAATAATTGAGCTTTGCATCCATCAGAGTGCTTAAGTCTTTCAAAATTGTCTATTTATACAATATTGATGTTGCAATATAAATTGTTTTCCTGGTTCTGCTCTCTTTATTCTGCATCAGTCTATACAAGTCTTCCCAAGTTTCTCTGAAATAATCCTTTTCATCATTCCTTACAGCAAAATAGTATTCCATTGCATTCACATACCATAATTTGTTCAGCCATTTCCTAATTGATGGGCATTCCCTTAGTTTCCATTTCTTTGCCACCATAAAAAGAGCTATGATGCATATTCATAGACACTTTTCCTCTTTATTTGATCTCCTTGGGCCTAATAGGCCTAGTAACGATATCACTGTGTCAACAGATACTCATAGTTTAGTAAATGTGGGGATATAGTTACAAATTGTTTTCCAGAATGGCTGGACCAATTCATAACTCCACTATGTGTCAATCTGCCAGCACCTCAATAACTTACAAATTGGGACCTAGAATTAAATTTACCCTACCTTCAGGAAATAAAAATAATATGGGCACTTTCCCCTAGACTCCTTTAGGAAGTTGGTAAATGTGATATCAGTTTTGACAGCTATGGGACATGACAAGGAGGGCTGCTTGGTGCTGTTCCATGTGGATGGGCAGACTTGGCAATAGTAGTAAGCAGGACACTGGTTATTGTGTGTCTGGTTATCTAGAGGGTTTTGCCAACCTCTACTTTGGATAGTATGATCTTTCTTACCTTTAGTCACATCCACAATCCCTATCTGCTCCTATGTTCTTGACCCTAAGGCTGTCTGAAGTTCATCCAGAAAAGTCCAGTTTTCCCCCAAGGTCCCAAATGACTGGAAAGATGAACACCAGAAGCTTGTTCTCTGAACTCTAACTCCCATATTTTTAAGGAGTTATTTCCTCATGTATGGACAATCAGGTGGTATAGTGGATTGAGTGCCTGCCCTGGCATCAGGAAGATCTGAGTTCAAATCCGACCTCACTTACTAGCTATGTGACCCTGGGCAAGTCATTTAACCCTGTTTGCCTTAGTATCCTCATCTATAAAATGAGCTAGAGAAGGAAATGGCATACCACTCCAGTATCTTTGCCAAGAAAACCCCAAATGGGGTCATAAAGAATTGGATACAATGGAAAACAACTAAACAACCAAATTCCCTTATGTTCCTTTCACATTCACACTCTCCCCACCTGAAAGAAGCTAATAATTCTTATACCTAAAGTAGAATGACTTCAGTTCTGGATGTTGAAGCATTGGGTCACTGTAGTCCTTAGGCAAAAGGAGAGACTTATAGCCATTGTGTCTGCCTGGGGGAGAGGAGGAGCACTATATCACTCAAAGCAGAAGGAAGATAAGTCTCAGAAGAGGCTATTTCCCTTATTCACAAACACAGGCATGTGCCCCAATGCCACAGGTGTAGATGTAAACAAAGTCCCTGTTCAGGTAATCAGGTTGTTGTTTAATCTTTCAGTCGTGACCAACTCTTCACGACCCCATGGATCATAAAACACCAGGCCTTGGTATCCTCCATTATCTCTCAAAGTCTGTCCAAGTTCATGTTTGCTGTTTCCATGATACTACTTATCCATCTTATCCTCAGGTGCAAAAGCGTATTATCCCATGAGCCCCTTAAAATCTATACCTAACCCATCTCCTGAGGCTATGAGGTGACCTGTGGTATCATTGGAAGTGAGAAGGAAGACAAAAGTCATTAGCAGCTTTTACTTTTCAAAAACAGATTGTACTAGCATAGTGCCCTTTGAACGAAGTCTGTTTGGTCTAGGAAGTATTTCACAGCACCATTTCTTATTGGTAATGCCATTGTTGAAAGCTGGCCTCACGGTCTGGAAGACCTGCATTCAAGAGCTGCCTCTAATATACACCAGTTTTGTGAATTCAGACAAAATATGTCATCCCTCAGGGCTCTCTGATATATATAGAGAGAGAGGGAGCTTCCTCGCCAGAAATTCCCTCTATCAATGAAATTACAGATACAGCCAAAAATGAAATACATTTGTTAAGGAAGAAAAGGAGCCAATATAGTGTTTAAAATTTTAATCAATTCTTATGGAAATGTAAACATTAATCTTGTTGATGTAGTATCTCCAGATATCAGGTGCTCACATCATAAGGAACATTTTTTTAAAGACATTTTGCTTTCTATTAATCAATCTACCTGATCCACTGGGCTACCCCAAAACATTTTGTCATGAGTATTACGGAAAAGGGGATTGGTTTAGACGTACAATAATGATGCCAGGTCTTCATACTTAGAAAATATTCTTTTATTCTCTAAACTTGGGTACAGGTACAATATTAGGGTCAATATTCCAAGAGCTTAAAAAAAAACACATGCAGAGCAGTCAGGGCAATATCCCAAGCAAAATTGGGTGGGACTTTTACATTTCCATTCTTAATTAACAGCCTTCTTTGGTGGTCATCATTCTCGCAGCTATCATATGCTGGTAGGCTGAGGGATACTCTCCTAGCACTGAAAATTCAGTCCTGGGCATATCATACCTCTTACCCTGATAGATAAAGGATATACTCTCAAGCCTGATAATTTATATCTGGCACACAATCTGACAGTTACCTGCCCACCAGAGACCTACCTTATTTGTTTTTAAAAGCAATGACATCATAATTCCTCTCTGCCCCCAGTAGAATATCCCTGTACATTCATACATTTTAGATTTACTAATTTGTGGAGCTCAGATTCAGAGTGACAGGATAAGGATGGAGAAAATGGGAGAAAAACAACCTTAGAGAACTCCAATACCTTTCCAGAAAAAAATTATCATCAACTATCATTATTAGTTAGTGATGGTTTTATTCCTGTGGAATCTTCTCACTTCTGAAGGTGTGAGGGTTGCCCTCTATCCTGTTAACCAGATGTAAAACAAGCCCCAAAACACATCTGTGGAGTTTTATCATGCCCAAATTTGTAAGTGGAGCATAAAGTAACTTGACAATTCTGTTTGCAGTGCAGATATTACTAGTCACATAAACATTTACAATTTATCTCATGCACATTATTCATAAAACTGGAATCTTGGAAAGGAGGCCTTTTGTTTCCATGGATTTTTCTCATGCTTGGAATACAGTCCCTCTTTCTTCTCTCTGCTTTGCAGAATCCCTCACTTCCTTCAAGGCTAAATTAAAGTGCTACCTCCCAAACAAGATCAGTCCTAATCCCCTCAATTGCTCATGTCCATCCCTGCCAAAAAAAAAATTACTCATTTTTATTTTGTATTTACTTTTTTCGTATAATGTTGTCTTCCTATTCCTTCCCTCCCCCATCTGAATGTAAGATTTTTGAGGGTAGGGACTGCTGTCGTTGTCTTTGTATCCCCAGTGCCTAGGATAGGCATTTAATAAGCACTTATTGAATAAGTTTCCTTAAAAGTCATCCACTCTGACCCCTACACAGCATCTTGGGACGTCTACCTTTTACCCTCTAACTCTTGCCAGTCATAGCTAAAACTTCCATAAAATTAAGGTGACAACATTGAGACACTGCCCCACTTGGCATCCACTGAAGCTGATGAAGAATGGGGGCCCCAAAAGGCTTGTGCTCAAACCAGCCACAGAAGGAAGAGCCAGCCAGCCAGCCCCAGAGCTTTCTTCCCCAGTTTCAAGAAAACACAAGGGAGCTAGCTCTGCCTTCACACACAGAGAGCCCATGGGATTTATCCAGTAACATGAAGCTTCCAGGAAGTAGGTAGGTCTCTTCCAGTAGAGATCAATATATCTAAGAGTTTAACAAACTACAGCTTGTTAGACAGCCAGCATCAAATGCCCTTGGGTCACTGAGCTTTGTTCTCCTCACTGCCTCCCAAAAACTCTATCCCACGATTTTCCTGAGACAGGTCCACTTTTCAAGAGGAAAAATCTTTTAATCACAAAATCTTTTTATCTCATAGGATTTAGAGCCAAAAAAAAGAAAAGTCCCAAGATCATCTAATCTAACTCCCTCATTTGCAGAAGAGTAAGCTGAGGCCTCAGGAGAATAAGTGATGTCCCTGAGGTCACACTGTTCTTTCCATTACACCAAGCTAGTCACCCACCCAAAGATAAAAAGAAAATTATTTCAATCAAGTTAAGCACATGTTGTATTTTAGCAAAGTAATTAGAACTAACAGAGCATGGTTCCTGCTGTCAAACTGGTAACAGAACTTTTCTACCCTAGTTCCTTAGTAAATGGGAAGTGAACCCCTGATTCCTATAAAGAAAAAGGCTAGGTAGGGTATAATACCTGGGATTTACATGTGCTGTCACAGCCCATTGGAAATGAATCCTTTTTCAGGCAGCCAAAGAGGAATTCTCTGACTCCTAACTATAATTTTATTGTTCTGGGACAATAAAGCTTTTTCAGAAAAATGTAGTCAGATACCTGTCTATATGCCAATCAGAGCTCCGAGATCCATCTCCTTTGGGCTCTCTCTAAAACAAGTAGATTCTGGTCTGAGACTAGGGATTCCCAACATGGTTTAGATTTATGCATATAGGAATTTACCCCCTCACAGCTATTCCTCTAGGCTAAGACTCCAGAAGCAATGACACCTGGCTCTAAAAAGGAGCAGAGTCTCAAGAAAATGAGGGGAGAAATCCAGACAAAACACTAGTAAAGGTAACTCTTGTCCCACTTTACTTGCCCAACTTCCAATCTGTGAGTGGTTTACAGGAGGAAATGTTCTCTTAACTGGAGGAAGAAAAAAACTGTCTCAGTTGGTTTTCCTGCTGGATAGGAAAAGGGAGAGGGAATTAAAGATATCTAAAGGAGGAAGGAGGGAATGAGACACCTGGCCAAAATATTATAGTATTTCTAATAATTAAAAATCCCAAGAAAAACATTATCCTAGTTCCTGGCTGAGTTCCTGGTTTTCTCAGGACCCAAAGCTCTGGTGTTCAGCAGCTTAGCACACCTCTGCCCCAGGAACAAAGTGGTGAATTCACTGGAGGAATGCCATCTAATCTTTGGATGAAAAGCATTAGAAGTGCAAAGTGTTAGAAATGCAAAGTGCTCTTATGAACAGGCTCCTTTAGCGTCTTTAGCCCTGACTCCACTGGGCCAATGAACAAGATAGCTAAAAAAAAAGCTCAACTCAAGCATTGTTCCCAGCCCCACCTCAGGGCCTCAAGGCAAGGGAAAGCAGAAGGCTAGGATTCTTTTATCTAAGCAGCCCCTAAGCTTTGATATTGTAGTTTCCCAAAAGCAAAAGGATGTGCCCACTAGTAGTGATCAAATTGTGGGTACTGGCCTTGAAGTGCCCCTGGTATGGATGGGAGGCACCAGCTATACCATCCAGGGCCTCCCTCTGGCTATCATCAAGAAGAGGGACAAAGTAGAGGTAGCCTGAATTCTCTCTGCCAAACATCTCTAGAGTACAGAGCCAAAACCACACAATGAAGTGGACCTGAAGAGAGTCTTTGGGTGCTAATTCCAAAAACTCATTCTCCTTCCCTCCTTACCCTCTTCCCTTGTCACAAAGTATTTACAATCCCATTTAAAGAAAGATTTTACTCATCCATTCACATTCAAAGGAATCTTTGTCTAATTGGATCATTCAACTTTCACACATTAACACTGTCTCTGGTATAGCAAGGAAATAAAATGCTCTCCTTTTATGCTCTGTCATGACACAATACCTCACGTAGGGCTTGCAGAGATGGATTATCTCTGCAATGGACAGATCTCTGGTCTCACAAGCCATGAAGAAGCAAGGGTGTGTGTCTTAACAGAAGGAGCAAGCCTTAAATTGTCCTTTTGCTCCTTAAGGAGAATGGAGCTGGAAGCAGAGACCTAATCCTCCTGAGTGTTACATTAGATTTTCATAACTGTGTGAATTTTTTAAAAAGTCAGCTTATTCCAAAAGATAGGTAAGTTCATAACTTAATAGTTTTTAGTCAAAATAGAAATAAATACATTCAAATATATTTTACAACATGCAGTCCATTCTCAATAATAAATAAATCTTGGGATTAAAAAGTTTTAAGAACCTTTTCCCTCCAATCTCATACATACATACAAGTGCACACACACACACACACACACACACACACACACACACACACAGAGCAGCTCTCCAAGAGAGGTAGGCTCTGAAGTACAAAAATGTACCTTAAGTATTTCAGGAAAAGGTATCTGCTTTTCTTTAGCCCTTTGACATGACTTATTGCTCATATACCTGAGAAGGAAAGAGAAGAGCCAACAGGTACTCATCGTCAGAGGCCCAGGGATCACTGGGCAGCCCAGCTCTCTGCAGGACAGGTGGGAGAAAGGATGCTCTAGGAAGGACAGACAGTTTCCCCTCTTCTCCAGGTTTTGAATTAGTCTGGAAGTCCTCGTGCTCCATGCCCCGAAGTGCAGTTCCTACATTGAGGTGGATATATTTGCAGTCTGTACAATTCCGATGGTTACATACCCCACCACTTGGAAAAGGCTCAGTTAAGGCTATGGCTATAGAGGAAACACTTATCTTCCTGTGAATAAGTCCTAATGGCTAAATAAATACTATATTCTCTCCAATTTTATCTCATCCCTACCCACCCCAGGACCCCAAGGCAGAATATGGACTGATAAGGGAGTGAATTTGGTGAGACCATTCTTCGGGCACCTCATAGAAGAAGGAGATGATTTCTCTCTGGTTCAGAAATTATCTCTTGGGGACCCTCAGAAGACCAGATCAGCTCTAGAACCCACTCTGGGATCAAATTAGAGCTGATACCATATTTTGGTTTGACAGATCAGGACCATTAGGTTTTACTCTAGAGAAGACAACTCCTAGGTGCGCAACAAAACCGCCCTGGCCTCCCAAGTGTCATCCGTAATACAAAGGATGATACCCCATCAGGTCTAGCCTTGTTTAGACCCATCCTCACAGCGCTGCCACTGGAAGGCCAGACCTGGGGAAATGGCCATTAACTTCAGGATATAAGAGTATACACATGGGAATGAGAAGCAGCATGGGGTAGTGGAGAGAGAGAATGCCAGCCTTGTGCTCAGGAAGATCTGTGTTGAAGTCCTGCCTCTGACACATACTAGGTGTGTGTTCATGGCAAGTTACCTAACTTCTCAATACTTCCAGTGATGTGCATCAATGGAGAGTATCTCCATACTAGGAACTCCCTACCTTGATGAAATCACAAATCCAGATTTGGAGAGGGGGGGAGTAGTGGAGACCAGAAGGGGCTCATTCAAAGTGGCTAAGTTAGAATTGTTAAGTCTTGTTAATGAGGCATCTGCCAAAAACTCAGATGCACCTACTATAAAACCAAAATGTGAGCTGATTATCATGGTAGACCCCAGAGAGCCAGCAACTCTGGCAGCCTCTGAACCCAGGCCACCAGTCCTTATGGTCTTGGCCCTCAGGTTAGGCAGGATTTCTGGCTCTGGACACTTCCAGGCGCTGGAGTACAGCAGGATCCCCAACATGGCTCAGACCCGGCTATCTGGAGATGAGGGAGCCACTCTGGGACTGGTTGGAAGAAGTTGTAGTGGCACTGAGCTGTGAGAAACCACTGGTACAGGACTCCAGACTGGACATGGATCCCCTGGGAAGGAAGAGCCCAGAGCTACTCATTACATCTTCATGGTAACGTGGCCCCAGTGCCCAAGACATCTCCCTTCTCTGTGCCTCTGATCAAGTTATTCCCCCATGCCTGGAATGCACTTCCTTTCCACCTCTACCTGGAAGAATCCCCAGCTTCCTTCAAAGCTCAGCTTACATGCCATCTCCCACAGGAAGCCTTTCCTGATCCCTTCAGTCACCAGTGATTATTTGGCATGTATTTTGTTTTCACTTTTCTGTTTCCACACTCTTCCTCACCATGTCAACTCCTTCAAGGCAGGGATTGTTTCGTTTTTGTCCTTGTGTCCCAGCACCTAGCACAGTGCCTGGCACCTAGTAGGTGAGCAAGTAAATGCTTGCTGAATGAATGAAGGTGTGCCAGTAGAAGGGAAAACCTTATTGTCAGAAATGAGACTCCAGAATACCTTTAACATGGCTGAGAACTACAATAGTCCCCATACTAAGTACCAAGGGGAAAAGCAAATGAAAATAATGAGAATAGACTCATATGGCTAAGAAACCAATAAAGAATCAAAGCAATGATTTTAGATTCTAGACTACTAGACCAGAAAATAGAAGCAAGGTGTACAATCTATGCACAAGCTGCAGAACACTGACTGCTCCATTAAAACTTACAACTGCCCTATGACGTGACCCTGCAAATCATTTATGCATGAGGAATTCTACACAGAGGTCTCCTGAATCCTCCCATCCTCTCTAATCCTAGGGCATTTCATGCTAAAGTTAATGGGAACAAGTAACATCCCCAAAGGAGGAATGCCTGTCTCAGAAGCTCCCTCTGGGGGTTTTCTCTACAGTAAACCAGCAAAGCTAGAAGATGGGTATTAGGACCGGACTTTAAACAGTGCTATGGATCATTTTCCCAGAAGTCTTAGTGGAGGACATTTTAAAAACGTTAATTTTTTTTTCTTAGAAGAGCTCTTTGTAGTTATTAAGGATTGAAAGACTGATTATTCAGGGGAAAGTGTTTTTTTGCTGGGATTTGTTTTAAGGTAGTCTCCACCAATTTGGGAGGCAAAGAAATAGTGAATATGCAGAATGAGACATGTTTTTGGACATGGCCAATGTGGGAATTTTTGTTTGTTTGTCTGATTGACATGTTCATCTGTTATAGACATTCTGATTTTCTTTTTTCTTTTTCAATTGGGGATGGAAGTGAGAGGGAAAGATAATAAATGCTTGCTAATTAAAAAAATTTAAAAAGAAACAAAAAAGAAGGCAGTGAAGTTTGTATTTTTTCATGTGTGGCACTAAAACATTACCTGTACCTATGGGGGGAGGAGGGGAAGAGGATAAAGAAGAATTGAGCCCAAAACCTAGCAGGAAGGAAGCAAGGAAATCCCTATTTCTCCTCTGAGCTCTAGTCACACATCTCCTGACTCACATCTCACCTAACTAATGGATATCTCCACTGATATGTCCTACTTAGTATTTCTAATTCAGTGAAAAGAACATGTAACTTTAATTTAGAGGACCTGGGTTCCAATCTTGACTCTCTGCTTATCTTAGTGACCATGAACAAGTCACCTGACTTCTCTAGAACTCAATCTCCTCATCTATAAAATGAAGGGAATAGACTCCAAGCACAATGCCTGGCACATAATAAGGGCTTAATCAATGCTTCTTGACCTGACTTGACTTTTCTTCTGAGATCCTTTCCAGTTCCAAATTTATTCTCCTATATCCTAAACTGAGCTTCCATCCTCCTTCTAAACCTGCATGTCCTCCCAATTTCCCTATTCTGTTTATGGCATTAACTCAAGCAAAATGTAAACCATCTGAGGACAGGGACAACGTTGTTTTGTGTCTCTTTATCTTCCACACACAGCAACTCACCCGACAATATTAGGTATTTAATAAATGCTTCTTGAAGTGAATTAACTCTGGCTCATAACCTGAGTTTCCTATTTGCCTTCTCTCCCTCATCCCCCAAATCAAATCAGATGCCAAATCCAGTCAGTTCTATTTCCAGCATCTCTCTCATATCCATCCCCCTCTCTTTGCTCAGCCATCCTGGTCTAGTGCCTCATCACCTTTTGCCTGGGTTATAACAATAGCATCTCAATTGGTTTCCTGTCTTTAATCTGTTCCCCTAACCGTGCATACTTCACATAGCTGCAAAAATAACCGTCTTAACGAAGGATTGACTATGCCACTCCCCTATTCAACAGCCTTCAGCTGGCTCCCCAATGCCGACAGGAAAAAACACAAAATCCTTAGCTTAGTTTTGAAGGTATTTTACAATCTGAGTCCACCCTATCTCTCCATCTTTATTCCATATCACTTCCCTTCATGTACTCTAAGATCCCAGACAAAACGAGGACTAGATAGTTCTCAGCCTTGTCCGGCTATCTCCAGCCTTTGTGTATACATGAAAGTCACATTCTCCATGCCTCCATGGGATACATTCCCTCCTTATCTCTGCCTACCGAGATTCTTCTCTTCCTTCTAGCCTCAGCCCAACTGTTACCTCCACTGTGAAGCCTTCCTTGCTTCTCTCCAATTCAAAGTGTTTTCTCCATACTGAAAGTTTTCTAGAACTTTGTCTGGCTCTCTCTTTTGTCCCTGTCACACTCCATCTTTTAAAAAATTATGCTTATCTGTTTACATGTCCTTTCCCTCCCTAATAAATTATAATGCTACTTGAGGGCAAGGACAATATTGGGTTTTTTTTCATTGTACCCTCAATGTTCCCAAAGCACAGTGCCTTACAAAGCACTGAAGAAATGTTTTGAAGAAATAATTGTTGAATTCTACCTAAATGCCTTGCCTTGCTGAGTGGTCCAATTCTCTTTCTTTTTTCAAATGGTTTCAGATAGACATGTTCCTCCACAAATAAAAAGGTTCACGATGCTCACAGGTTAAGCTGGAAGCCTCTCTTCAATTCCCATCATCTCTGGTCATAAATCTCAGAACATGACCACCATGTCTATCTGCCAGTCATTGCTAAGCATTTTTTCTAACTCCTTCATCAAAACGTTTTTTTTTAAAGGTCCTGACTTCAGGTAGGGGCTTATCAATTTATATAAGGCAGTAACTTATAAGACCTTAGGGCATAATGAATAGAGTGATAGACTTGGAGGCAGGAAGACCTTGGTTTGAAGCCTAGCTCAAACACTTACTAGCTATATGACACTATTAACAGTATGACCTTGAGAAAGTCATTAAATATGTCTGAACCTCAATTTCCCCTTCTATAAAATGGGAATGATAATAATGGTACCTATCACACAGGACTATTGTGAGGATCCAGTGAGATAATGGATGTAAAGCACTTCATAACCTTAAGCAATTTTTGAATGTGATTTATTATGGTGATGATTCTTATCAATTTAGTCTTCCTCAGCTAAATGCCGTCCCTTCCCAGGTAACCCAGTCCTATGGTTCCTACCTGAAGTCTACAGATGCAAGGACCTCATAGTAGTATAGGAGTTTACACTTGTGACCAGGGCTCTGCAGGGCATCTTCCACTCGAGGGAGGCTGTTGGCTGCACAGACTGAAGGAGTGGCCATCTTCCACTGAAGCAGGTAGAAACCTGGCCAGCGAGTCACGTGGGAGCCCTGAAATAGAGAGAGCTGCCACAGTGAACTCTACCTTAGGGTCCTCTCCAATCAACCCCTCCACGTAGTTGCCAAATTGATATCCCCAAAGTACAGGTCTGACCATGTCATCCCTCTAGCTGTGAATTTATTTATTCATTCATTTGTTTGTTTATTTACTTATTTATGATCATAAATTTATAAGAGCTCTTCCTTGCCACTAGGGCAAGTATAAGTGGAAAGAGCACAGAAGACTAGGGTCCAAGTCCTGTCTCTGACACAACCTACCCATGCGACCTTAGACAAGTCATGTAAGATCCCTCGGTTTCCTCATCTATAAAACAGAGGCATTGATCTAGATGGTCTGCGGTGTCTTCCCAAACTCTAGATCTACGATCCTAAAGTGCACACTCTATTGTTTAGCATTTAGAGCCCCTCAGAGTCTGCTTCCAATCTGTCTTTTCAGGCTGATTTCATATCATTCTCCCTCAACATGCCTCACGCTACAATTAAACTTGCTGTTTTTGCTTGGGATTCCCCATACACAACACCCCATCTCCAGTCTCCAGGCCTTCACATAGCCTGTCCCACATGGGTGGAATCCCCTCTGTTTCTAGGAACACCTCTTCATCACCTCCACTTCTTGGAACAAAACTTCATCCAAGGCTCTGCCCAAGTCCTTCAAGAGGTCTATCCTAATTCTGCTAGCTTTTAGACCAATAACAACAGACTGTGAATGTGTTGTATCCTCCCAGTAAATCATCAGCTCTTTGAGGACAGGGCCTCTCTCCTTTTATCTTTGTATCATCTCCAGTGCCTAGCTCAGTGCCTGGCACCTAACAGATGCTTCATTAACACTTGCTGATGTATCCCAGGGGTACTTTGACAGCCCCCAAAAGCCTCTATGAGTTCCAGTCATACTTAATTCTTCTTTTATACAACATATAGAACATATAAAATGTATAGAACCATATAGAACATAGAGACACATAAGCACTCAAAGTTGTTTGTTGTTTAACCAAATGAAATGCAGCACTGTGAAACACAGGAATGTATCACACTGCCTGGGGCAGAGCCAGACAGGAAGGACCAAAGTGAGGTTCAGGCCACAAGTCTAGGCAGTCATTAATTTTCTCCACTTAACACTGGGAGGATGAGATCTCAACAAATCAAAAAGTGGAACTAGACACCTTTCATCTACTTGAAATCAAAGTTAAAAGAAGTATGACTCCAGCTGCTGTTCCCAGCTCCCAGGGGTAGGTTGACACCCACACCTAAGCCACTTTTAATTTCCTGAACAAGGGAGCCATAGCTTGGAGAGTCAGGACCTGGGAGGATTTGGATCCCAGTGAGCCAATTTCCAGAGTTCCCAAGGGCCATGGCAGTTCTCAAGTTATTTAGCTGTTACAGTAGAAGACTGTCTCACCTGAATGCTCTCGCCTTCCCGGCAGACCAGCGGAGACTCCACACGGCTGTAATCCACTCCCAGGACCCAGCTTTGGTCAATGAGTTGTACGCTGCTCCCAGCCTTGGACTCCTTGGGTCTTGGTTCAGGTGCTTGCTTGGAGTGAAAGAGGTTGAAAACCACATCTCCCCTCAGAATGTCAAAGTCCCAGGTGATCACTGACTCACCCTCCAGAATCTCCACTGCTATCTAGACATAAAACAAGTCAGGTATAATGAGCTGGACAAGAAGAGTTTCATCTTCTCCTCCTCCTCACCCCTGCCCTGCCTCTGAAAAAGCTGCCTAGAAAAAGAGAAAAGTAGTTGGAGATATAATGACCCAACCTTTCTGACTCCCCAAGGAAGTAGGTACATCCAGTGGTGTACTGGTAAATGTTTAACAACCAGCTCTCGGTGGGGAAGTAGGGGATGCACACAGGACATACTTTTAAATTTAACCTGTATTATTAACATTTTTCCATCTCTTTCTTAAATGTAGACAGTCAACAAAATAATAAATCAAGCCCTGATTTACAGAGTTTGTAGATTTCCAAGATGTAAATGTTCACATCAAAAATTTAACAATTGGCTCTCTTAAGCCAGTCTGAGCTGGTTCCAGCACATCCCTGCGTACATCTTGCTGAGTCTTTTCGATCAGGTTCACCAGAGCAAAGAAAAGAAGAGAGTACCTCATGGGGGGCCCCTTGGAGCACACTTGCAGACTGGTAGACAGTTTCAGTCCACAGTTGGACCCTATCCGCATTCTCTTGATCCTCTTCAATCTGATAGAGGGCCTTTGGGATGATGCCCCCTTCAGGGACATTGCACTGAAAGCCAAAGACCACGTTCAGTGTCAGCATTCAGTGCCTCTACCTTACCTAGAAAGCACTTCTCAGAGCATGCCCTGTGCCCTGGACTATATGTCCTTCTCCCCTGTGACCCTCCTGCCTACTACACACACAGAGTTCTTTGTACCTCTTCCAGCTCACTCTCAAATTTCCTTAGGACCTGTTTCTATACCCTTAGGATGCTCATTGAAAGCAATCCTAAAGGTAGTTCAGTTTTCAGATTCAGAGTGACCAAAGGCATCTTGGGACCCCCATGACCCTTTCTTCAAGGATTAGAATTCAGCCATCTTATTCTACCTGGGGAGATGGAAACATCCTGGAACAGACAGGACAGGCATGCCACACCACTTTCTTTCCAATAGGCCCCACTTCCTCATCCCTCCTAGTAGACCTTCAATAGAACCCCAGTCCTACAACTCTAGGATTGAATTTTGCAATCAGGAAACAATCCTCAAAAAGCTATATTCCCAAATGCTACCTCTCTCTTAAGGACCACAGTTCAGCGATGCTAAGACCATTCTCACCAAACATTCTCCTCCTAGGAAGTCAGGAATCACATCTTTATTCAGATAATCTACAAGTCCTCCAGGGCCCTGGTAGTTGCTGCCACTGTAGATGAGGAATTTCTGCCTGGTGTTCTCATTGATAAAGGGGCTCACCTGAAAGGTAATGCAGAAGAGAATAGAGGTTTTCCACACTTCCAGGGTTTTTTGCATTGCTTCCAAAGAGTAGAGGATTACAGATTTAGAGTCGGATGAGACCTTAGATGCCATCTGGTCCAAACCCGCCTCATATAACTGAGGACCAAAGTGATGTGCCCATAGGGGCAGCTAGGTGGCACAGTGGATAGAGCACCAGCCCTGGATTCAGGAGGACCTGAGTTCAAATCTGGCCTCAGACACATAACACTTACTAGCTGTGTGACCCTGGGCAAGTCACTTAACCCCATTGCCTAGCAAAAACAAAAACAAAACAAAACAAAACAAAACAAACAAGCAAAAAAAAAAAGCCAAAGTGACATGCCCATGGTCAAACAGGTAATAAGTGGAAGAACCAGAATATGAATTCAAGATCTCTGCCTCCAAGTCCAGAACCCTTCCCATTGTTTCAGACTGCCTTCTCTAAGGTATTATTCCTGCTAGATCTGGAACTGATGCTAGATCTAACAGCTGGATGTGCCCTACTTTTTTTTTTTCCTTTTTTTTTTTGATGAGGTAATTGGGGTTAAGTGACTTGCCTGGGGTCACACAGCTAGTGAGTGTTATGTGTCTGAGGCCAGATTTGAACTCAGGTCCTCCTGACTTCAAGGCCGGAGCTCTATCCACTGCACCACCTAGCTGCCTCCCTACACTTGTGCTAAGTATGAATACAGTTGAGGATAAAAAGGGGAACTTGTCACAGCCTCCAACATCTACTCATCAGCACACATTGCTAACAAATGTTAGAGGGCTGTTTTCCAACCCTCTGCTGTTTGTCAGGATACTTGAAACTGCCATTTCTCTACCTCAGAGAGTGCTGTCACTGCTACCCAGCACTTCTGACACATCTCAGAATTGTCTCCTTATTTGTTCTATTGAGGTGGCAAATGACAGAGTAGATAGAGGGCTATATTTGGAGTCAGGAAGATCTGAGTTTGAATCTCATCTTCTGTAAGAAGTCTTTCTCAATCTCCCTTAATGCTCATGTCTTTCCTCAGTTGATTATCTCCAATTTATAATGTTGATATCTTGTTTGTACGTAATTGTTTGCATGGTATCTTCCCCATTAGACTGAGCTCCTTGAAAGCAGGGGTCTGTCTTTTGCCTCTTTATATCCCCAGTGCTTAGCACAGTGCCTGGCACATAGGAGGTACTTAATAAATGCTAGTTGACTAACTGACTGCCTCAGACACTTAGTAACTGTGTGACCCTGGGCAAGTCATTTGAGTTCACTCAGACAAATTTCCTGTGTATAAATTGAGAATAAAAATAGCACCTACCTCACAGGGTTGCTATGAGACTCAAATAAAATGATATATGAAAAGCATTTTATAAACCTTAAAGTGCTCTATAAATACTATGATTATCATCATTCATCATTGTCACATATACCTCTTACATCAGAGGAAAGAGGGCAAGCTGGCAGAAAGCTCATGGGAAAAAATCCCCAAATCCTCATAAAAATGAAATCTGGAGAGACTTGCCTCCAACCACATGGGATCTAATTCCTGTTTTCCACTCACCAATGTCCACAGCACAGGGAAAACACGAGGAGCACGCACAATAAGCAGCCGCCCCAATGTCTCTGGATAATTGTCCTCAACCACTTGAATCATCCGCAACAGGGCCTTCACCCCAGGTCTCCAGAGGTGCCGCATATTCAGCCCTTCCAGATCCACAAGGCACGTCCAGGAACTGAACCAAGGACACCAAAGAATCACCCATTACACTAGGACTTCCCTCCATCTCAGCCCTAAGCAGGCAGGACAGAGCTGGCTAAAGTCTCAAACATCTATACCTCAACAATATATAGTGATTTCCCAATTATCTCTCCTTAGATCTACCAAAGTGAGCTACAGACAGAGGAAAGAGTCTAAAAGACTCTGTATTTGAGTACGGAAAGGAGGAGAATGGGATAGAAGAGAAAAGATAGAGAAAAACAGGCCACATGATGCTTTCTGGAGATATGGTTGGTTCTTATTGTCAAGGGAAAATAGCAATCCACCCAAACACTTGCCTAATGGGGCGGCCAAGCTGATTTGTGTGCTCTTCACACCTCTTCTGTCCCTCTTCATTAACTGAAAGAATCTGAAAAGCAGAGACAGTCTTGACAGGAACTAAGCCAACAGGATACATCCAGTCCTATGCCCTCTTTTGGTCAATTCATGAGTGCACCTTCCACAACCTATAAAGTTGGCCTTAGGAACTTAGCCCATCTGAAGTCCTAAGGAAATGGTAGGGCCTTAAGAAATGATGAAAGGGATAGTTTGAGAGAAATCCGGGAAGGTTTGCATGAACTGATGCAAAGTAAAATGAATAGAACCTGAGAAACGATTCATAAAAACAAGAGCAATAAAAAAAGAAAATACCTGAAAGACTTAAGAAGTCTAATTAGCTCAATGACCAACCACAATTCCAAAAGAAGAAGGCTACCCATCTCCCAATGGGAAAGTGATGGACACAGGGTACGGAATGAAACATACATTTTTAGACATAGCCAACTTGGGAATTTGTTTGGATTGATACATATTTGTTACAAGGGTTTTGTTTTTCTTTTTTTTTCCCAGTGGTGGGAGAGTAGGGGAGGTGGAAGAGAAAAATAAATGCTTATTAACTGAAAAAATGTTATGGAAAAAAATAGAGCCACTACTCACATGCCGAAGGAGTGCCTCCTCTCCCACTGCCTTCATCAAGCCCTTTGTATCCATCTGGCCAAGACGCAGGATATAGAGAGGGCGGCCATCTTTGTAAAAGAGACCATGTAAAGAGAAGAGAAGATAATTCAGTAATACTTCTCCCTTCTGTCTTACTCCTCCACCCCCAAAATCTAGGAGAATAGCAAGGACACTGGTGAGAAGCAGAGGACTCTACTGCTGCTAATATAGTCTCTAGATTCTACCCATAGAGACTGCTCAAAGTTTGGAACAAGTCACAGAAAAGGGCCCAGTCAATCTTAGGCTTATAGGAAATAACCCATGCTAGTAGAAAAAATTTTGACCCTGGAGCCAAAGAAGAGGAGTTCTAGTGCCAATTCCACTGCTCTTTTCCTTTTTTTTTTTTTTGGCTAGGCAATGGGGTTAAGTGACTTGCCAAGGGTCACACAGCTAGTAAGTATTGTGTCTGAGGCCAGATTTGAACTCAGGTCCTCCTGAATCCAGGGCCAGTGCTCTATCCACTGGGCCACCTCACTGCCCCTCCACTCCTCTTTTTCTATGCTTTGTTTTCCTTTTTCAGAGGATGGAAGGATCAGCTTTGCCATTTCACAACTCCCTGGTAGAGGTAGTGGGGGAAGGGAAGAGGTTCAGAAAGAAAAAAAATATATAAGTTGATAATATGAAGAGTGTTCCCAAAACCAATGAAATCAAGAAGTTAGGAACCAATCCATTTCCCCTTAGCAGCTCTGCTGAGGCTAACAAAATGGCTTTGAGAATACCACTGGGGAACTTGGGGTCAAGTTCCCCACACCAGAGTCCCACGTTTTCTCTCTTTGCTATACTATCAGGGGAAACTGAAAGTTTGGAAGACATGTAAAATGGCAAACCTCTATCCTGGTAGTGCCAGCCACCTGCATAGAACTCTTCCAGGAGGGGTGGGGGCCTCCATGTCTGAAGGATGTAGTCCACTTGGTGCTGCTTTCGCCAGTTCAAGGACTGGCACAACATCTCCCGGGCCTTTTCAAAGTGAAAGTCTCGAGCCCTCAAGAATCGAAGAATGTGCTCATCTTTGGGAATCTGTGGGAGGGAAGGAGGAGAAAAGAGTCCAGAAAGCTGCCCAAATTAACACAACCTTTCAGGCCTTGGTCTCCTTCAAGAGACTCAAGGAGCATCATGGTATAGTGGTGGTGAAAGTACTGGACTTGGAGGCAAGAAGACCTATTTTCAAATCCTGCTTCTGACACTTATAAGCTGTGATCCTGAGCAAACCATTTAGCCTCTTTAAGCAGCAAGTTGCTTCATCTGTAAAATAAGAAAGTTGGATTCAGTGGTCTCTTTTAACTCTAAATCTATTATCCTAGGATTCCCTAAGCCACCCACTTGTAAAGAAGGCTGCTTTGTCACTCAATCCTAAGGTGTGGGTGAGAGACTCACAATCAGCAGGCTTTTCTACCACTCTAGATTATAAAAACTCTAGAAAACTTAGGGCCATGTGTGGTGCAACTGGTGATTTCTCTGCCTCAGCTGTAGATGAGGAAGGGGCAACCTTTCTTTGGAGTTCTAAGATCATTCTCCTTTAAAAAAAAAAAAAGAAAATGATGGAACAAAAATGGTTAGCAGGGAATGGACAAGAGAGCCAGGCCCAATGGAACTATATCTTTGCATTCTGAAAGAATTGACAAGTATGATTGCTGAGAAGCTGTTGGTAAATGGGAGGGGAGGGAGGGTTGTAAATTTTAAAATTTATTTTAAACTTAAACACAAAATGAGAAAAGAAAAAAAATTGTCATGTATACAACAAAACACAAGAGAGAATTCAGTATAAAATAATAAATTTCCATTTTAACAAGACCTATATAATAAATACTACACATTGTTTTCAAAGCTGCCCAGGTTTTCTTTGCTTCCTTCTAGGTTTTCTTTTGTTCTCTGCTGTGCACTTCTTACCTTATTTTACCCCCTCCCTTCCCACCCCACCCTAAAGAAGGCTACAATTAAACATGAATACATACATACGTATACATACATATATATATATATATATATACATATACACATAGATATCCATAAATACATACATATATATATATATATACACACTCATACACATGCATGTACTATGCTTATTTACACTTGTTATCTCTCTGAAGGTAGATAGTGTCTTCCTTCACAAGTCTAACCTTTTCCATGTTTTTCTAAATCAATCAGTTCATCATTTCCTATACCACAGCATTATTCCAACCCAATCACATTCTATAAGTCCAGGACAAATATGGTAAGCCTCACCATGCTAAGGAGGATGGAACTGACCTAGGTCAAAAACAGAGCAAGTCAAAGTGCCTATGCTGATCAGTAGTAGGATTGGGCCTGTGAGTGGCTACATAGACCATCAGAGAGACCCAGTCTTAAAAAAAAAAAAGACCTTGGCAAATGTCTCAAGGAAGAAGGTCAAAAGAAAGCAAAACTGGGAGAATAAAATGCAAAATGTCTATTCTACAAAGGGCATGATGGCTTTTTAAGTATTCAAAGGATTGTAATATGGAAAAGGGATCAGACTTGGCCAGTTTACTCCCCTCCTCTCCCTCCTCCCCCAACCCCTAGGGAAAAACTGTGAACAATGAGTGGAAATCACAGAGGCAGATTTAGGATCCACTTAAGGAAAACTTCCTTCCTAATAATGAGAGCTAGCCAAAAGCAAGATGGGCTATCTCAGGAGGTAATAGCTTCCCCTCATCAGAGGTCTTCAAGAAGAGGCTGGTTGACGAGTATTGGGGGATGAAGAGAGTATTCTGTCTAACGAATGAGTTGGGCTAAATAGCTCTGAAGTAGTTTCTAGCATGTTTTCTCTGACTTTTTGCTGTTTTCCAAAAGAATATTTCTCCTCATTTCATTTGCTGACGAAGATGGAAAAAAATACGTATGACCCTGAGAAGAGCAGTTTAGATCCATGCTTTAGAAGGAGGAGGAGAAGGGAAAGGAATAAATGAATGAATGAAGACTGGTTGAATGAATGAAAAAAAGCATTTATTAAGCACTTACTATGTACCAAGTACTAGGCTAAGTCCTGGGGATACAAACAGAAAAAGAAGGGGCAACTAGGTGGCATAGTGGATAGAGCACCGGCCCTGGATTCAGGAGGACCTGAGTTCAAATCTGGCCTCAGACATATAACACTTACCAGCTGTGTGACCCTGGGCAAATCACTTAACCCCATTGCCTAGCCAAAAAAAAAAAACCAGAAAAAGAAGACAACATATCTGTAAAGGGTTTGGTTTTTTCTTTCTTTCTTATTGTATGGGTGTTGGGGATGAGGTATAGGAGAGAGAGAATATGAACCTGAAAATAAAATTAAACTGAATTTTTAAAAAAAGATAATGAAAAAAAAAGAAAAGAAAAAGGTCCTGCTCTCATGGAGCTAACACTGTCATAGAGGGAGACAAAGCATATAGGAGGGTTCAGCTAGAGGGCAGATGGAAAAGCCAGAGGTCCTAAGGGTTCAGCATCAAGCAGGAGAGCAAGGCCCAGGAGTCCTTAAAAGCCCTTAAGAGAGGGGAAGGGAGGGGAAGAGGAAGAAGACAATTGCTTTCATTCCTGAATACATTTTGTTGATTGGGTTCCCCGAGATTCCTGTCAGAATTCATTTCACCATAATTCCACCATCATGGTAGTCAAAAATGACCAAAAGGTCACAGTAACATATAACACAGCATACAATATAGAACCCATGATTGCTTGTGCCTTCTGAGTTCTATTTACCTCTCTATCACCTTCCGGACCCCAGACACTGTCAAGGAAGGGTACTCAGCTGTTGCAGAATGGTGGTCCCAACTGCTGCTCCTAGTTTTGACCCAGCCCTCAAAGGCAGATAGGAATAAATATACCCTACCAAGAGAGGTTTTTACACATCCCAAAGAAGCAGGCTATATAAACCCTTACCTTTTCCTGACTTCTAATCCTCTGCTTCTGACCAAGAGGATCAAATGAGATATTTGTAGCGCAGTGCCTGGCACACATATACAGCTATCATCATCATTATTGTTGTTGTTTAAGACATACCCAAAGTACAATGAAAATTTGAGTTTCTATGTTCCAGACTGTCCACAGTCCGGTTCTTCCTATGTATCTTTCTGAAACATGTATACTACTGCCCAAGCAATGTTCCTCATATGATTCTTTGAACATGTCACTTGTCTGTACGAAAACCTTCATAGATTCTGCATTACATAACAGTACCGCAACCAAAAAAACCAACAATAACAATAATGGAATTTTATACGGTGTTTTAGAGTGTACGAAGGGCTTTACATATATTAGGTCACTTATGCCTCACAACCACCCTGGAGGAAGGTATTAAAAAAAATCAAGTCTTACCAAACCAAGTCCACACTCCTAAGCCTAACACTCATGGCTTAGACATAGTCTCCCTTCCTCTCTAGGCTTATCAAATTCTACTCCTCTTTGTGAATTCTATTTCCGGTCAAACTAAACTATTTACCCTCTCCCTGCTCATTCTCACGTCTACGTCTTTGTTCTTGCCTGTCCTCTATGTTCAAAAGGAACTCCTCCCTGGTATCCATCTGTTGAAACTCCTCTCTTCCTCCAAGCCCCAGCTCAGATCACCCCCTAGCCAAAAATGATCACTTCTTCCTCAAATTTCTGGCACAATTTGTCTAGTCATCTCCTTTGTACTTACATTCTGCCCTGTTTTTATGATCAGCACACGTTTTAATCTCTCAACGTCACTGTAAGATCCTCAAGGACAGCGACTGTATTTTACTTCACTTTTGCATCTCCAGCACCTGGAGTATGTGTTTTGCACACAATAGGTGTTTCATTGATGTTTGAAAGCCAAGATCACTAAGCAAAGTAAGGCCCTTTAGGCACTCACCTTTCCTTTATGTGTTTCCTGTAACCACTGGCGGAGTCTGATCAAGCAGCTCTCCTGCATGGGGGTGAGATGCCCCAAATACTGCTCAATGTAGTCTGTGTCTAGCTTGTCAGCTGAAAGGAAAAGAGTGGTATCATAGGACAATCAGTAACGGACAGGAAAGGGGGAAGTATAATATTGCAGAAAATATGCTAGGCTAAGAATCAGGGAACTTGGTCTCTATTTCCAATTCTGCCACAAATTAGCTGCATCACCTTGGTCAAGTCACTTCGCTCCTTACTACCCAGTTTCTTCATCAATAAGAAGAGGCAGTGGGAGAACCAAGAAGGCAGAGTAAGGAAGCATTCTGGTGGAGCCCTCCCAATATTCCCCTCTAAACAACTTTAAAATAATATGTCAAATTGAATTGTAAAGCAGCATAACCAACAAAAAGTTGAGGGGAATAGGTTAAATATGCAAGACACAGTAGTCAATGACTATAGTAATCTATTATTTGATAAACCCAAAGACCCCAGCTTTCTTGGAAAAAAACTGCTGGGAAAACTGGAAAAGAGTATGGCAGAAACTAGGCATAGACCCAAATCTCACACCATATACCAAAATAAAGTCAAAATGGGTTCAGGACTTAGATATAAAGGCTGATACCATAAATAAACTGGGAGAACAAGGAATAGTTTACCTATAAGATCTATGGAGAACAGAAGAATTCATGACCAAACAGGAGATAGAGAACATTATGAAAACCAAAATGGATAATTTTGATTACATTAAATTGAAAAGTTTTTGCACAAACAAAGACAATGCAACTAAGATTACAAGGAAGGTAGAAAATTGGGAAAGAATTTTTATAACCAGTCTTTCTGATAAAGGCCTCATTTCTAAAATATATAGAGAATTAAGACAAATTTATAAGAACACAAGCCATTCCCCAATTGATAAATGGTCAAAGGACATAAACAGACAGTTCTCAGGTGAAGAAATTAAAGCCATCTATAGTCATATGAAAAAATGCTCTAAATCATTATTGATTAGAGAAATGCAAATCAAAACAACTCTGAGGTACCACATCACACCTATCAGATTGGCCAACATGACAAAACAGGAAAATGATAAATGTTGAGAGGATGTGGGAAAATTGGAACGCTAATACATTGTTGGTGGAGTTGTGAAATGATCCAACCATTTTGGAGAACAATTTGGAACTATGCCCAAAGGGCTACAAAAATGTGCATACCCTTTGATCCAGCAATAGCACTTCTAGGGCTATATCCCAAAGAGATCAAACAAATGGGAAAAGGACCCACATGTACAAAAATATTCATAGCAGCTCTTTTTGTGGTGGCAAAGAATTGGAAATTGAGAGGATGCCCATCAATTGGGGAATGGCTGAGCAAGTTGTGGTATATGAATGTAATGGAATACTATTGTGCTATAAGAAATGATGAACAGGCTGACTTCAGAAAAACCTGGGAAGACTTATATGGTCTGATGCTGAGTAAAATGAGCAGAACCAAGAGGACTTTGTATACAATAGCAGCCCGTTATGCAATGACTAAGAATGTTAAACTGAACCCTTCTCAGCATTACGAGGATCTAAGACATCTCCAGAGGCCTCGGGATGGAAAATGCTGTCCACATCCAAAGAAAGAACTATGGAAGTTGAATCGCTCTCACTTATTTTTACCTTCAGTTGAGTTTTGTTTCATCTTTCTGATGGTTCCTCCTATTGGTTTTAATTTTTACTTACAACTTCACTAATGTGAAAATGTGTTTAATGGGTATGTAAATGTAAAGCCTATGTCAGAATGTGCGCCGTCTTGGGGAGGGTGGGTGGGAGAGAAAAAGGGAGAAAAAATTTTCAACTCAAAAGCATATGGAAAAAAAAAATTAAAAAGAAAATAAAAAGAAAAAAAAAAGAAAAAAAAGTTGAGGGGAGACATTTTTCCAGTCCAAGACAACTTAGGGAGTAAAAAGAAGAGTTCTGTGCCACTAGGGTAGGAGCTGACTGGGTCAGTGACATCAACTGTGGGCCCTGGAGGCTGTGGCAGCAGCAGCAGCTACCCCAGGAGCACTCATTACCCAGAGATGGTAAAGGTATTTAACACTGAATGAAATACTAAAATAGTGAAGCCCCCTCAGTGTAGTATAGGAGCTGACCCCTCCCTACATTTCTCAGAAGCTGCCTTGCTGAGAAAGCAGAGGGTCATAAGCAGATCAGGTGACAGAGCCACATCCTGCTCACCCAGATTCTACCCCTCCTCAGACCCCCCCTCCCTAGTTATTAAGCAAACCGTTCCTTGTTTTGCACCCTTTTTGTCACCTTGCTGCTGGGGAGAAGTTCCCGCACTTAGACTGTGAGCTGCGAAGCCCAGCCAATGGGAAGAGCCAGTGGGTGGGCAGGGGTTCTGTGTTAGGGTCTATATAAACTTGTTCTGAGCTATACGCCCTTGCACCTTCTCCCTGACATCATCTTGAGCGTCACAGAGAGTGTCCTTTCTCATGAGAAAGCAATATAACTCCTTTTTGCCTTTCTTAAGAAAAGTCTCTGACTGATTATTACAAGGGGGTTACAAACACCCCATACAACACCTAGTCAGAAAGAGATTACAGGGGATGCCTGTGCTAGCACTGAGTGCAGGACTGGGCACCGTTTGGCAATGCCACTGCCCGCTACCCAATTCTGGGTGGCAGTTCCAGAGTAGAGAGGAGCTTCAGTTAGTCATAAGGGAACATGGCCCCTTCTTAGTTAAGAACCAGAACACAGAGCAGGAGAGCAGTGACCACACCTCTCCCCAGATCACACCATCTTGGAAGCAATGAAAACTTACAGACCCCCAGAACTATCTGTGAAAACAGCAGGATAAAAAAGCCTGAAGCTTGGGACAATAATCCCTCACCCCCAGAGCAGCAGAGCCCAATGCTAACATAAATTCCAAAGTCAAGAAACAGACTGAAAAAATGAACAAACAACAACAAAAAAGAACATGACTATAAAAAACTACTATGGAGGTCAGAAAACTCAAGCACAAACTCAGAGGAAGACAATGACATGAAAACATCTACAAGCAAAGCCTCAAAGAAAAAATGCAAATTAGACACGGGCCCAACAAGAATTCCTAAAAGAGCTAAAGAATTTTTTTAAAAAAAAAATTGTTTTAAAAATCAAATAAGAGATGTAGAGGAAAAACTGGGAAAAGAAATGAGAGGAATGAAATAAATTATGAAGAAATAATTAACAACTATAAAGGAATGGAGAATGTATAATATGATATTCTAGAAGGCAAAAGAGCTAGAATTGCAACCAAGAAAAACCTACTCATCAAAACTGAGTATAATCCTTTAGGGAAAAAGTAGATATTTAATGAACTAGAAGACTTCCAGACATTCCTGATAAAAAGACCAGAGCTGAATAACACAAGACTCAAGAGAGGCATAAAAAGGTAAACATGAATGAGAAACCATGAGGAACTTAGTAAGGTTAAAATGTTAACATCCTCAAATGGGAAGATGATATATATAATTCCCAAGAACTTTATCATCATTAGAGGAGTTGGAAGGAGTCTACTTAGATAGAGGCCATGGTTTTAAGCCTATTATGTTGGGATGCTCTCAAAAGAAAAGTGGAAGGCTGATAAAGAAGGATGTATTGAGAAAAGGGGGAAAGAAGAGAAGGAATGGAGAAAATTATCTCATAAAAGAGGTTCACAAGGAAGAGTTTTCACAACGAGGTTGGGAGTGAGCAATGCTTAAACCTCATTTTCATTTTAACTTGTTCAAAGAGGGGAGAATATATACAAACTCATCTGGGTATAGAAATCCATATTACGACAGGGGGAAGTAGGAAAGGAAGAAGCTAAAAGAAAGGAGAGGACTGATATGAGGGACAGCAAACTAAGAGAGGCCAATAGTCAGAAGCAAAACAGACTTTTAAGGAGGGATAGGGTAAAAAAGGGAGAGAAAAAAACAGAAGAGAATAAGATGAAGGGAAACACATAGTAATCATAACTATGAATGTGAATGAGATGAACTCACCCATAAAATGGAAGTGGATAGCAGGACAGATTAGAAATCAGAACCCAACAACATGTTGTTTATAAGAAACACATTTTAAACAGAGAGACACACAGAATAAAACTAAGGGGCTGGATGAAAATCTACTATGCTTCAGCTGATGTAAAAAAGGCAGGGGCTAGAATCATGATCTCAGAAAAAGTAAAAGTAAAAACAGACATAATTAAAAGACATAATCAGAGGAACTGCATTTTGCTAAAAGGTAGCATAAACAATGGGCAGTTAGGTGGCACAGTGGATACAGCACCAGGACTGGCAGCAAGAATACCTGAGTTCAAATCCAGCCTCAGACACTCACTAGCTATGTGACTTATCCTGGACAAGTCACTTAACCCTCTTTCCCTCAGTTCCTCAACTGTAAAATGAGCTGGAGAAGGAAACAGCAAACCATTCCAGTATCTTTGCCAAGAAAACCCCAAATGGAGTCATAAACAGTTGGACACAACTAAAAAATGACTAAATAACAACAAGCATAGACAATGAAGTAACATCAATACTAAACATACATGTACCAAATGGTATGCCATCCAAATTCTTAAAAGAAAAGCTAAATGAAAAATAGGAGGAAATAGCAAAACTATGCTAGTGAGGACCTCAATTTACCCCTCTCAGAACTAGATATATCTAACCATAAAATAAAAAAGAAGTTAAGGAGATGAATAGGATTTTAGAAAAGTTAGAGAAGATAGATCTTTGGAGAAAACTGATTGCGAATAGAAGGGAGCATACCTTTTTCTCAGCTGTACATGGCACCTTCACAAAAAAACTGATCAGTTATTAAAATTTTAAAAACTCACAAAAGCAAAAATATTAAATATCAAATGTACCCTCTTCAGATAATGATGCAATAAAAATTCCATTCAATAAAGATCCTTGGAAGCATAGATTAAAAATTAATTGGAAACTAAATAATCTAACCCTAAAGAATGAATGGGTCAAAGAACAAATCATAGGGGCAGCTAGGTGGTGCAGTGGATAGAGCACCGGCCCTGAAGTCAGAAGGACCTGAGTTCAAATCTGGCCTCATAGCAAACACTTGACA